TTATATAGATTTCCCTTAAATATAGGAATCCTAACAGGTAGTGGAGGGAGGCAAGAGAGATAATGATAGAAGAACCATGACATGGAGAAGTTTTTCAAATCATTATTGTCTCCGCGGTGTTAAAGTGAGTTATCTCAGGCAAGCCGGTATGAGGGTCCCATAATTTGGAAGATTTTTAAAAATTGCTTAAACGTTTATTTATTTTTGAGAGAGCGATGGTGAGAGAACAAAGCACGAGTTGGGGGAGGGGCAGAGAGAGAGGGAGACACAATCTGAAGACACAGAATCTGAAGCAGGCACCAGGCTCTGAGCTGTCAGCACAGAGCCCGATGCGGGGCTGGAACTCATGAACCACGACATCATGACCTGAACCCAAGTCGGATGCTTAACAGACCGAGCCACCAAGGCTCCCCACGGGTCCTGTGATTTTAGAGGATAAACCTTCAGCTTTTAATTTACAGATGAGGAAACAGAGTGATTTATTTAAGACCATTAATTTATTTGTGATATGTGAAAGTGTTTTAGAAAGGAAGCAAAATTTTGGTAAAGTTATTACTCTTTGTTCAACATTTTTAAGGCTAAGATGGAGAGATCAAGGAATTGTCGAGGAATGTAAAATCAGATCAAATTTTTAGGACCCCAGTGCATGACATTCGTTGGACTTTGTTATAAACTTTAAGGTATTATTGTGAGGGAGAAATGCCCTTTCTTTCATCTGATCAAAATCCATAGAAGCAGTTATAAATTTTTTACTTTTGCACAAATAAAATACTAGTGTTGAATAATTTTGCAGCTAGATTATACCTATTCTATTTGTTCATCTTTAGGATGTTTATTTGACACCTATGTTATATCTTACTTCAATGTATTTTCTTACCTTTTCAACCTACAATGCAAGTCCCTTTCTTCCTCCATGTGGAAAACGTTTTCTGTACTTTCTTTGCTCACCTGTCCTTCAACAGAGCAGCTAGTACCATACTAGACATTTCAAGTGTTTAGTAAATAATTTGTGTTTTCTCTTTTGGCCCCATAATTCCACTTTTGAACGTTTATAAAAGGAACTGACCAGAGATATTCGCATCAGGTTATCAGCAAAGATATTCATTGTAAAATTATTTATATTGTCAAAAAGTCAGGAGGAAAAAGCCTCAGAATCAAATTGACTATATAAATCATGGTTTAGTTAAATTAATAAGCTCTACAGACACTTAACATAAGTTTGTACAGGGACAGTTCATAATACTTTTCAGTGTGTACTTAAGTGCAAAGAAAAGGTTTTATAAAACAGTATGTGCAGTGATTTAATGTTCCTAGAAATGGATATAAGTGATGTACACTGATAAGTGGTGAACTCTCTAGTCATTTTAAATCTTGTTGGGATATTTGTTTATTTTTTTTTTCCTGCAATGAGTAGTAGTAAATTAAGAGAAATTTCTCTTAACAATATGCATTTAATTCAGAAAATAAGTTTGAACTGCGTTAAGACAGGAAACTTTGGGGTGCCTTGGTGGGTCAGTCGTTGAAGCATCTGACTTCAGCTCAGGTCATGACCTCACAGTTTGTGAGTTCAAGCTCCACATCAGGCTCTGTGCAGACAGCTCAGAGCCTGGAGCTTGCTTAAGATTCTATCCCTCCCTCTCTCTCTCTCTGCTCTTCCCCTTTCATGTTCTGTCTCTCTGTCTCTCTCTCTATCAAAAATAACATTAAAAAATTATTAAAAAGAGAGAGGAAACTTCTCTGTCCAACATGTTTGTACTTTGTATTTTGAGTACCCCTGTGATAAACTTACAAAGTACATGACAGACATGACCAAGACAGAGACATGAAACAGAAAATTACCTGAGACAGAAAATTATTAACTTAGTGATTCTGACTTATTAACAGGATACTGAAGTTGCTGGTAATGTTATATGTTTAAGACTGAAATAAACATAGAACCATGGTCATAGGTTTCACATGAGTTGTACTCAGAAACCATTGGATTTGAAGACCCAGTTTTTATAGTGAGGAGAATTAACACTGGAAGTTGGTAGAATCTCATTTTAAATCTTGGCCTCTGCCATTTGCTATCTGTACAGGTGTGTGCAAAATGTAAAGGATTGACCTGTATATTTTAATGAGATTATGTATGTGACACACCTAGTGTAAAGTATGAAATACAGCTAAGAGCTTAATAAAATAGAACTTCCATCAGCACCATCATTATCATTTCAATAACTGTGCTCCTTTTATTTAAAAAAAAATGTTTTAGGGGCACCTGGGTGCCTCAGTCGATTAAGTGTCCGCCTTCACCTCAGGTCATGATCTCACCGTCTGTAGGTTCAAGCCCTGCATTGGGCTCTGCGCTGACAGCTCAGAGCCTGGAGCCTGCTTTGGATTATTTGTGTGTCTCTCTCTCTTGGTTCCTCTCATGCTCTCTCTCTCAAAAATAAATAAACATTAAAAAATTAAAATAAATAAATAAATAAATTTTAATGTTTTAATTGGATAAATCTTGCATATAACACTGTATAAATTTAAGTTGTACGCCATATTGCTATGGTCCATTAATAAAAGGTTGTAACAATATTAGCACATTATATACTTACAACACAATAAGAATTGTCTATATTCAATATACTGTACATTAGATCTATGTAGCCTAACAATTGTTACAAGTCTGAACCCTTAAACACCATTAGTCTTATCCCTCCAGCCCTCATCTCCTGTTAACCACCGTTTCATTTTTTAACAGGTTTGACCTTTATAGATTCAACGTATAAATCATATCATATAGTACTTATCTTTCTCTCACATATCTCACTTGGCATAATGTGCTTAAGATCCATCCATGTTGTTGCAAATGGCAGGATATCCTCCTTTTTTATGGTTGAGTAACATTCCATTGTGTATGTGTACATCTTTTTTATATTTTGATCCATTTATGGGCACTTCAGTCATTTCCACATCTTCGTTACTGTGAATAATGCTGCAATAAACATGGGAGTGCAGATACCTCATCAAACACCTGTTTTCATTTCCTTTGGGTATCTGCCTAGCATTGGAGTGCTGGATTATATGGTAGACCCATTTCTAACTTTCTGAAGAACTTCCATATGTTTTCCAAGGTGGTTGGACAAAACTACATTCATACCAACAGTGTATAAGGTACTGTTTCACCACATCTTCACCAGCACCTGTTGTCTCTTATTTTCTTGATGATAATCTGCGCACCTTTGTTTTTTAAGTTTATTTATTTATTTTGAGGGAGAGAAAGTGTGAGTGGGGGAGGGCAGAGAGAGAGAGGGAGAGAGAGAATCCTTAGCAGGATCTGTGCTGTCAGCGCAGAGCCCAATGGGGGGCTTGAACCCATGAATGATGAGATCATGACCTGAGTCGAAGTCAGAGCCTTAACTAACTGAGCCATCCAGGTGCCCCTGTGCACCTTTTGAAGTCACCTACAGCACAATGTCTTTATGTGCTGGGTTATACATTAGGCCTAGTTCACAAGCTGTACTTGCCAGCTAGACAGGGCAGGTGGGCCTTGGAAAGGTAGAGCTTAAGAGCAAAGATGGAGAGATGCTACTTGACCTGGAGAAGGACTAGGGCAGCTGTACCTCCAGAAGCCCAACTGTGAAGTAACGGAAACCAAAAAGGGGATTCTAAATAGTGAGCACAGCAGCAGAGTGACATTTTTGCACAGGCAGGCGTGGCCATGAGTTATAGCGTCCATCTCCCTAAAAATGTTCAATATGTTTCCATTGATCGTGAGCTTTAGTTCCAATAAAGAAGCCCTCTCTTTGTTTTAACTTCTTTTTCTGGAGAATAAGGATAATTCCATTTCACTTACACCATCGTACTTAATCAGCTAATAAATATAAAGCATATAACCACATAATGTTATATAGGCAGTAAATAATATTATTAATAGGTGGAATGTAATTGCCTTGTTTGGTATTTTTCCAGAAAGTAGAACTAATACTCCATCCTACCTGATGTGAAAACTCTTCTACACCCATTAATCATTGCCGGTGGAATGGAATTGGCAAATCTAGAAAGCTGCCAAGTGCTGGTATATCTACACTGATATTTAACATTTTTCACATTAAAATTCTTTAGGTAGAAATAAACTGTAGACAGATATAAACCTTCAGTACTCATTGTCTCATCTACTCCAAAATGGCAGGCACTCTGATAAATGGAATAATCGTTTCTAGTGTCACTGGGGCCGTGACATGCGTTTCAGTGTCTTCTGCTGCTATAGCTTAATAATTCATTTCAGCACTTCCTTTTGTAAATCAGAGAAGGTTTGTTTGATGGACAGAGCGCTAGGGAGAAATCCGCTGCTTTTGTCAGAAAAAAATAACCTGTATTTTAGGACTAGTGCCTACTTGTGCAATTATTCAGTTCATAAGCTTGAGATTGTCTACACTCTCTGATATTGGATTCCATTTTCAGAGTGTGACATCTGTTCATTTTCAAGCACAAAAAGTCACATATGGAAAGTCAGCTTTATAAATAATTTCATAAGATATTAAGTGATTTTCCTTTTAGTTTGTTTACTACAAAGTCTAACACCTAATTTGAAGCACACTTCTAAGAACGGTGCAGAATTGTATGGCCTTGTGTTTTCAAGCAAATTAATAAAATGAAGTGATGTTCTTTTCTAGAGAAGAGGAAATGTCAGTGGCTATATATTTCAGAAGATTTGTTTTTTAATACAGTTCATTAGTTGTACTTAGACACTTATAGAATCTTATAAACATAAATATGGATGAGGTGTAAATTGCGACTTTGAGAAGCTGTCATTCCTCTGGGGGAGGTGCCATAGGAATAGTGTCATAATCAAGATGCAAGCATGGGGCTTTGAGCATGTGTAATTCCACCTTTGGTACTAATATGACATAATTCAGTGCAATGCAAAATTTAATTCAGAAGTTAATCTAAACTATTTGGCAAATATTTTTCTTATGATATGACCAACACCCTGGTATTCATTATTTTTGCATTTTCTGTTTTAGAGACGCCCAAGCAGATGGCCCGCGATGAAGTTTCGAAGAGGTTCTGGTCATCCTGCATATGCTGAAGTTGAACCAGTTGGAGAGAAAGAAGGTTTCATTGTATCAGAGCAGTGCTAAAATTTCTAGGACAGAACGGCACCAGTGCTGGCTTACAGGTGTTAAGACTAAAAATTTGCCTATACCTTTAAGACACACACAAAACACACACACACACACACACACACACAGGAGCCCTAAGCTGCTGTAGCCTAAAGGAGAAGAGATTTCTGGACAAGCCCAGCCCAGGAAGGGTTTAAAAAAAAATCTAAAATTTATACAAGGTACCAGTGACCATAGAACATAGAATTTCCCAGTGGTATGATACAGTTCACTCAGAACATCTCCTGTGGACTTGTCAGAAGTGTTGACAAGATTACCGTGCTATTGACTTAGATGCAGGGTTGCAAAGGGATCGAGAAAAACAATAATAATAAAGCTTTAGTTCATGAGGGGGTCTACACCTCCACTTCAAATATTCTTCTCTAATGTCTCAAAGATAACGGTATTCCAAAGCCTGAACCCTTTCTCTCCAAAGCGCAATGGTGAATGTTTCAAGAATGCTAAGGAAAATCGCTCCTGCAGGAGCAAACAAAACAAAACAAACAAACAAACAAACAAACAAACATAAAATGAGAGATTTTCTATCTTTCCACCAGACGTGTGGCAAAAGGATTTTGTTTTTCTGGTCTCGATCCAATGGTGCCAACGAGTTCATTACTTTACAGAATGAATCTTTCATCCGCGCAGGAGGTTCAGACTGCCTCCCTCTTCCTCGTTAATGAATGTCCTTTCTATGGGCTGTGACAGAATTGCCAAACTCTTAGCTGAGGATTAGGAAAGAGGGAGTGGCACATGAGGTTTTCAGTTCTCCTGCCTCCGAATAAAACACTTCATTATTTTTAAAGAAATGTTGCCCCCATTTTCCCAGCTATGAAATCCTATGAAGCCATAGTTGCTCTTGGCTGAAGGAAACAAGAGGAAACAATACAAAGAGCTCCTTAATTGTTTTTCAAGCAAAAATGTTAAGGGATTCTAAACATATGGGGGATTTTTGGCTTTCCCCCCCCCCCTTTTTACTTTGTGCCGGTTCAGTGCAAAAGGCCCATTTCATTGTCGATTCCTGCCTGAGAAAGCCATTCAAGTCAGCATACCCCTGGTGATAAAAAGAATGAAAGAACCCTGCTGAATCATACAGTAATTTTCTTTAAAGCACATAGTAGTTACATAAATATATATATAAATATATTTTTGTTTATAACTAACACAAGGCAGGCTCTTGTGACTCAAAGAGTGCATTTTGTCATCAAGACAAAACAAATGCAAGATGCATTACTGCATACTTCCATAGAGTTGTAAAATAATCCTTAATATTAGAATATTTTTATGTCACTCAGCAAAAGTGGTTCAATTAGTCGCAGTGCCGATCATTTCCCCGCCTATTTGAGCCACGCTTTCATTCATATCAACCCCTTCCCTCCCTGGCTGAATAAAGCAGAATGCTCCTTAGATTGATCTTCCATCTGCCCCTGTAATCACAATCCAGATTTTGAAACTTCTCCACGTATGAGAAACGGCAAGGCATCGCTTGAGGAGGAAAGCGGTTAATATGTATACTGAGCTCCCAAAGGTTAACTTCAAGTACTGTGTGTACAATTTCATTAGCATCTCGACCCATGAGGCTGACATCCTGTGCCAAGAAGCTGTAGGCGCTTATAGGGTACAGCATCCCCACGTTTGCAGATTCAGGTATCAAGAAGCAGAGATGTATTTGTAAGTAGCACTTTACTAACGCTTAGCATCTGTACCCAGTGTCTACCTTGAACGACATCAGCCTACTAACAGAGTAACGTAGTTTATCTTCACAGTTTTCTGACATAAGCTAGTGCCATCTTCCATCACTTATATTTTGCTTTACGTTTTTAAATACCCAATGGGGTTGGTAATTTTTTCCTAACCTACTTAGTTAATCATTGCAAAAAAAAAAAAAAAAAAAAAAAAACCACAAAAAACAAAAAACCTGACAAGCAAGATGATTGAAGGATGTGATGACAATCTCTCTGCTGTAGCTGCATTCAGCTTATATGAAATATCCCAACTGATTTCTCGTGTAGTAGGTTTGGTCAGATAGCAGTAACCAAATGACATGCCAAAGTACCTGGTGCAACTGGTATTCTACAAAGACATAAAGAACAAGTGGACGATTCCTTTTAGGATAAGACGACGCTTCTACCACTAGCTTTTGTGATAGGTGTGGCTTCCAATAACAGTTGATTGACAGTTCTATAAATCTCGTGGATATAACCAACTCCTTACACAATTCTTTGAAGTAGTAATGTTCTCTTTATTCCCCTCAGAGCTCATTTTCCATTAAAATAATTGACAATTCTGTAAAACAAAAACAAAACAAAAACATAAAACTCTGAATTGTTCAGGGAACTATAGCACCGAGTAATAGGGAACACTTTTTGGAAGAGTAGAGAAAATTTCCTAACAAAACTAGAAGTTAAAGGTGGTAAGAGTTTTCTGCTGTATATGAATCTTATAGTGGTAAGGGGAAAAGGCTTGCTAATCCCCTTTTTTTTTTCATGAAATGTTTATTCTAATTTGGATTTCTGGTTTGTTCCTGGTGCCCATTTACTGCAAAGGAAGAGCAAACGTATACCATGTTTCTGGAAGGTCAAAACGGACACTGATGCTTTGGACTTGACATACATTATGTTTTTGAAGGGATGCATCTGTAAATTGCTTAAATACTATGAACATAGCAGAGAGAGAATAATAATTTTAAAGAGTAAGAATAGCAAATGTTACATACCAATTTCTGAAGCAGTCAGATAGATGGTGCTACAGAGGAAATAATATTGGGTGATTAGTTAAAGGTATTAAAAGTCAAGAAAAATATCTTAAGGCAACCAGATGGCGCTGACCACAATGTTGGTTTGTTTGTGAAACACTAGGACTTTTAAGATAAACTAACAAACAGAAGACTCAAGTTCAATAGTAAAGTAAAACTTATCCCCAATTATCATTTTAGTTTGAGCTACCTAGGGCATTTGCTAATCTCTCTCCCATGTAGCTTCTAGAGTTGCGCTGCCCACTATCGTATCCATGAGCAAAATGTGGATACTTAAATTTAATTAAAATTAGACTTAAAAAAAAATATAGTTCTCCAGTCACCAGTCACATTTCAAATGCTCGGTTAGCCACATTTGTCTTCTTGGCTTCTATTTGGACAACACACGACTATTCTCATCATTGCAAAACACTCTAATACACAGTGCTGTAGAGGTCTTTCCTTTTCATTCCTTCTCCTTGAATAAAAAGGAAGAGGAAGAAAAAGAGAAGATCTGGAAGTTCTTGGGGATGTCTAAGTGTTTTTGATCTTCCAAAGGCAGCATGGTGCGATGGCAAGAATGCAGCTGCCACAGCTTTGAGTCTCCACTGTGTTACCTTGGAAAAAAAAATCACTTTAATTTCCATGAGGTCTCAATTTACAATTTTGGAAAATAAAAATATTTTTGTTCTGTCTCCCTTGCAAGGTTGTTATTATTATGCAGATTGACTAAAGGTACAGACCTACAGACTCTTAAGACCTTAAGTCAATGTAACCCACGTGGCGCACATCCTTGGCCCAGCATCAGCACAAATGTGCCTTCAGAGGAAAACAAGTCCATCCATCCTGAAAGCATTCAAAGACAATCAAATCAATACACGTCTAGAGAAAATGCCAAAGGAGAAATTGCTTATTTTTTTCCCATCTTAATACTTTCTCTTAATATTTCCTCTATGTCACATCTCTTCCAACTCTCACTTCTCTGCCATGACAAAGTCCCTGTGGGTTTCCTTCAGCTGGCTTGATTCTTTATTATGTAGAATCACTTAGTCTCTCTAGTTTCTTGGCATGTCCCAGTTTACTCTTTACAGCAGAGGGAGGGCCAGGAACCAACCAGCGGGCTTCTTTTTCAAAGGAAGTACCTCAAACACAAATATTTATTTTACCCCTGAAACACAAATCTAAGGGGCTCCCACATCAAATATAAAAACACATGGGGCTTCATATGAAATGTAAAACTTTGCAAAAGGAAAAAAAGGATTACCATTATTTTATATAATACTAATCTACAGATAATATATATTCTGATTAGTATAATTTATTAGGTTCTGGAGCAAAAAATTCTTGTCATTACAATTCCTGGGGAGTATAAATTGGGTTATGTCTTCTAGTCTACTGCCTATTTGAGAAAAAGTTTTGCTAGAATCCATGCCTTGATTCAAGACACTGTTGTTCGATGACAAGAAATTAATATTTAAATAAGACTCACTGAGAAACAGATCCTATGAGTTTTGGTTTCTTCCTCCTGTGAAATGTTATTTTGCTTTGTATTTCTTCAGGCATTTTTCAGATGTTCTATTACAGCAAGCTTTACTAATTCCCAAAAATTGTTCTTGCTCATACTCTCCCATCCCATCCCCTCAATTGGCACCAGTGTCCAAATGCCAGGATAATGGTAGGTCACCTAACCCAAGCCCTTCATCTTACAGACCAGAAAATTGGCACCCAGAAAGATAAGGTCATTTTCCCAGCGTCAGAACTGGGTCTTGAACTTAAAACCCCTGTCTGAGAATTCCTGTTACAATTTTTCTTGCTCACACCCCTCTATCAGCAATGAAGACCAAACAAGCAGTTTAGGAGGACAGTCTATTTGAAGGCTAACTTTATCTGCGATATTGGAAATCTGCTGTCCTATAACATGGAACATTGGACTGATCTTCCTCTATCATGTTCATAAGATTAATTCCCTTGTTATAAACAACCAGTGATTTCAAGTTCTGGCTACTACAGTGTCTTTATTTGGTTTTGCATGCCCCTCCCAACCCTACCTGTGTCCATCTGTCAACAATATTATTTATTTTTTGTCACTTAAAATTGACAAATTTGTTTCATTTCTTCCCAAATATACCTGAAAACAAAGAATCTTCATTGCCTATTTTCTTACAACATCTATATAATCACAATTTGTATTTGCTTTTTGAAACCATTTGAACATTTTTCCCCTAGGAAGGCTTTTTGAACAAGTATCATGAGGTCTGTGGCCTTGTGTTTGCAAAGCACTTTACATTTTGTGGAGCACTTTGATGCATCCCTTTATTTCTCCATTCATTCAGCCACTCAGTTTACTTCAATATTTATTGAGCACCTACTGGAACCAAGTTCCTGTGCTGGATCGTATGGTATATAGTGATAAATATAAATACTGAGAGATGGAGCATGTCACCTGATAGCTGTAATATGATGGAATTTTCAAACACAACCTTGCAAGTAGATTGGATCAATATTACTCTTTCCAATTTCCAATTCCAATTCTCTTGTATACTTAGATAGGGAACTATCAAGTATTAGCCTGAAGAATGCTTCAGAAATGTGATGCATCATTGCCCATCAGTACCATTTGCTCTATTTCAAATGGTGTGTTAATTTCACTCACGAGAAGAAAAGTTACTCATCACAGTTGTCCCACACCCTGCAGGATTTCCCAGGTCACTGGAAAGTTGTCCAACCAGACGCAACGGTTCACTTTCTTGTACCAGCTCTCTTTTGTGGCTTTCTGAATTATCAGCATCATAGTTGAAAGGTATTCCCGAAGAACCAGTGTATCAAAGAAGCACTTGAACTTCCTTTAGCTGTGTGTGGTTGTTAGGTCATTTATGAGAGTGTCTCAGGTCTTCTCAATGTCAACACTGTTGACATTTAGGGTCCCATAATTCTTTGTGGGAGGGTGGGGTAGACACAGTCCTGTGCGTTGCAGGGCACATCAGAAGCATCCAGGAAGCTTCTGATGACTTTATGCCAGTAGTACGTACACACACACACACACACACACACACACACACACACACACTATGACAACTAACGATGTCTCCAAACATTGCCAAATGTCCCTAGATTGGGATCGGAAAAATTACCAGGTTACCTAGTGAACAAAATTTATCAGGAGCAAAAAAGAAATGTTTCTCTTTCTCTTGACACTTAAACTTTATTATAGATAGGGGTGGTTTTGTTTTGTTTTGTTTTGTTTTTTTACTCACTTCCAATAAGACTTGGAATCATAAACTCTTTGAATTAGAAAGGACTGTAAAAATCACTAGTTCTGTTACAACCCGACATCATCTGTACCTATCACCATCTCTCAGATTTACCAATTTACTGAAAGAAGATCAGAAGATTGGTTATCTCTGGAAACTTGGAAATTGGCTTTTTCAAAACTAGAGATAAGGCTAGAGATTGGTAATTTTGCTTTGCTGCTATAATGGCTGTCTGCTGCTGTGATTTTCGCTTCAGTATGGGGACTCAGGGTCATATGATTTCAGTGTCACAGACTCTGCTTTGGTCATTTCACTGTCTATAGATCTTGTTCCTTCACCTTCGCCTTTAAACCATGCATAGAAGTTGAAGTTTGGTCCATCTGATTTTAAGTATATCTGGATAAGCTTTCTATTTCTGGCATTCTGATATTTCTATTTCTATGTCTGAATTTTTTATTGTCCTCCTGAAAAAAAAAAAAATTGACTGTCTCAAGTCATTGAAAATTGGAAATTCCAGAGTCAGAATGCTTAAATCTGTCAAGCTGAGTTCCTACTGATGTGATGTGCCTTAGGTCAGTTTTCCTGTATGGGCAGTGACTTTCTGTGGGTCACTGCAGATCAAGTCAGTCACACCTGTGTCTATTCTGCACCAGTTGGAAAACTTGGTGAAGTTGCACAAAGACAGCCCCTTAAGAATATTCCTAGAGATAACAACTAACCCCCTACTGGAATATCTGGCCTCCCTTGATTCCCTTTCTAATAGACCAACACAGACTTGGCAAGCATTCATAATTTTTTTAAACTTTTTTAAACATTTTATTTATTTCTGAGAGAGAGAGAGAGAGACAGCATGAGCAGAGGAGAGTCAGAGAGAGAGGGACACACAGAATTTGAAGCAGGCTCCAGGATCTGAGCTAGCTGT